TCAAGAGATATAACTAACTAATCCATATAATATTCTATAATTTCTTAAACCAAACTGTATACCAAAATATGACTTCAACAAAACTACAACATAAAACACTCATATCGCCGCCTCTAGTAATCCTGACCACACAAACATGTATATGCACAAAAGCTGAGTATCATCTACCATGTATACAGTTGGGAAAGCAGAATAACATATATCATATTTTTATTACTACAAAGCAACCAAGAAAATTAAATTTCAGCATGAAATGACCCATAACGAGTTGATATGCTATTAAACAAATCAGTTATATAAGCAATTTCTAAAGAAGCGATGGATTTTTATTTATTGATCCGAATATTTTATTATTTAAATTTTATTTTTAATAGACAGTCATATTTGAGTAAACCCTCCATTTATTTATTAAATATTATATTTATTTTCATCTACCGGCCTGAATATTCGAGAAATATTTTTCTTTAATAAGCGTAACAACATCATATTTTTATTTCTTCAAAGCTCCCAAGAAAAATAAATTTTGACATTAAATGACCCAGAAGGTGTTGATATGCCGTTGAACAGACAAATCAATCAATCAATAAATCTTCTTTCTTTACTAATCTTTTGTTCCAGTATTGTCCTTGGAATATTATTAACCAGAACTACGAGCTTATACGAGAATTATAAAACAAACCATGAAAGCAATTTTGACGAACAAAGCTTATGTACTTAGGGAATTCAGTATTAAATGGACTCAAGCTGTTTTTTTATATTGTGTCAACATTTGGGATCGAAATGAATTCTGTATAACTAACAAAATGCCCAATTGCTGGATACGGATGAGAAACAGAAACATCAAACGAATCCGCGCCCAAAATCAGCAATATTCCAAAAAGTTGCCTCATGTATGATCCAAAAAGATTTAATTTATCTAAGGCGTTAGAGTAATGCGCAGAACTTTCTGTAATATCAGTAGTAGAAATATTATCCTAACTTTTTTTTTCATTAGATTTATCATTGTCACGCATTTTTCATTTTCGGCTAGTATTTCTTTCATCTTAAAGTTAGTTGCTTTATTTCCACTAGGAAAATCCCGGAAGGAGACACACAAAAAAAAAAAAACAGATTGATTAAGTAACTATCACCAAAAGTTTCAAAAACGCAGTTCTACACTGCAAAACATACACAAGTGCCGACTGCAAGAGCGACCATTTCCCAGTAGTGTACTACATAAGAGTAAAACTACGGAAACAAGACAAAATCAACGCCTAAACTGCAATACAACAAACTCGTGAAGGGCCCAAGTTGCAAGGATACATATAAATAAACAGATTTATAGAAAAAATACAACCTAAACAAGAATAGAAAATCAAAGTGAAACACTCGTGACATTAGCAAAGATAGATCATCCCAAAGAATGGAAATGGTAACAAAAAAAAAAGACAAAAAAACAATTCACTACATTTACCGGAAATAGTTGGTTATTCACAGATAATGAAGATAATGGAACATTTGGAGAGCCATGATCTTTTACGTCCTAAAGGGACATGGCATTTAAATAGAAGTGATATAGATAAGTTAGTTGGACACAGGGTCAAACGAAAATCAGGTTTTGAATAAGGGTAGGAGTGCTGTGTTACACAAACTTAATCCTAAGTAAACTAAAACTTCTCGCGTCCGAAACTATCAGCCGTATACAAGCGCTTTTTTCAGATCAACGGTAAAAAAGCGGCTTCAATCAAACAAAGCATGAAGGTCTTAGTGATTACAACCCCTCTTTGAAGCTCGTGGACTGACGCTACAGGGTCACAAAGATCTATACCAAATAACAGCAATCACATTACGTGAGGACATTCAACAACGGCAACAACTAAAATGGATAGCACATTTCACTCGAAGAAAAAATAATGACATAATCAAGATGTTGACGTTCCACACTACTTCAAACAAAAGGTTAGGAAGGAAACCGACATCAATACTAGAAAGAAATATAACACTTAATGGACTTGAGAAAAATATGAAAAATTTAGTCATGCTTTGAATATTGCTTTTATATATGGTTCGACGCTCCTGCTGTATATTTAGAGATTCTTGATGAAATTCAATGTAGAATCCGCAATATTATTGGCCTTGATCTAGCATCTCGGCTTCAGTCACTTTCCCACCACCATAAAGTTGCTTCCCTCTGCCTTTTCTATAAATATTTTCATGGTAATTGTTCGTATCTAGACTTTATGGATTTAAGTGCAGCACTTGATAGGCGGTAAGGCCTCGTCATTTTACAATTGAATTGGCTAGATTAAATCGTAAGTTCTATGCTAACAGTTTCTTCACTCGCACTTTTCACATGTGGAACTCTCTTTCGGTTCCATGCTTTCCAGCCAACTTTAATTTTCAACAATTTAAATGCAATATCAATCGTTATCTACTGTCTTCTTAATTCTTATTCTTTTATTGTTCTCGCTCTTTAACCCTAGAACATTAACCATCAATTAAAGTTACACCACTACTAACCATGGGTATATCATACCCGATTTTGAAAATATCAAAAAAAAATATTAAATATAAATCTTTATTTGAAATATTTTACATGGAGGCATTTTAAACTTTTTGATTTGAGTTGACATTAATAGGAACTGAAAAACATCTTATTTCGGTAAGAAAATCAGAAATTGTAATTAAAAACAGGAAAATTTGCGCTGGGTACTATATACCCATGGTTAGTGTTCTAGGGTTAATAACGTTTCTCTTTTTTCTTAAACTTTCACACTCAGTAACCCTTTACGTCTTAGTGGCTTTATTGCCTTAATTGGGATTAAATGATTTTGAAAAAAATAGGAAGATTTTATAAATTTCATCCGAAAGCAGCAACGGCTGCTCGAACAATTAATGCCAAATGTTTCTTTATAAGGAAACGGCTAATATTACCATTACCTTGTCGAACATCATTCAAGATTCTGGCTTTGATCTGAGTTTAAATACCAAATCACAGTGTCGATAAGAAAAAAAATAATTCTTTCGGAAACCAGGCAGATCTCCCAGACAGGTTTCTCAACAATTTTGTAAACATAAGAAATTCAATTTCCTTCTCATATTGACTTTATTCTGTACTGTTGTTGTTCAGATCACGAGTTTCTGGAGAAAAACTTACATTCTATAACAACCAACATATTGTGCTTGTCAATAAACTTGCTGATAGATAGATAGATAGATAGATAGATAGATAAGGGACTTAAATTGGAAAATAAATATTTATGGTGGAAAATAAATGTATTTTTCAGATATCATTATCAATGTATCTGTAAAAGGACAATATGAATAAAGACAAAATGAAAACTTGTTCGACGCGTTTCATCTTTTGATATACTTAAGACAAATGTAAGAATTTTATTTTGCTAGGAGTATTTATAAACAGAATTAAAAATGACGCTAGTTATTCAAAAAATTTTGAACGCTCATAAATATGCATCCGACAAAATTAGAATCAAGGTAAATTATGAACGATTCTAAATGATGTAATTTGGTTTCTAATAAACAAAAGTTACTAAATATTGTTGAGTTTTTTTGGGTTTTTTTATAATGTAATTAATATTTTAGTTCGCGATAAATTTATGTAGGAATTATTTTAAATAACACTAGTTTTTGGGCAAGACTTACATTCTATAACAAGCAACATATTGTGCTTGTCAAGAAGCTTGCTATTTCATTATTTAGTGGCTATTTCATAAATGCAGACCTCTGACATGACGAGGTTCAGTATCAGATAGTTTAAAGAAAGACATCTATAAACAGACTGATAGATAGATAGATAGATATGCATTAAATATTTGAAATAACAGGAGGCTGTGAATTTAACATTTTTCTTTTATTTTTAAATAAGATGTTATAGACATATATGTTGGCTTGGAAAAAGAGTGTTTCTTTCAGGAAAGGAGATATTTGAAAAAAATCCGGGACGAAGATTTATATATTATATTTATATGCGTTTTTTTATAAATACTTTCATGGTAATTGTCCGGAGGAGCTCTTCACTACGGAACATTTTTATTTTATTCTCCTCCCGCCACAAACATTGAATTGTACATATGGGGACTAGTTAAGACTTTCATAGAGACAATGAGGTATTATGGTGGATGTAGTAAGAAAGGTAAGTAAGAATACGTCGTTTTGGTGTTAGGAATATTTTGGTACCTTTAGGTCAGTATTTGTGGCTAGCTAAATTTAATGCTAAGACAGATGAAGAGCGTCTTTTTCCCCATTCACCATTTTTGACCTAGGGCCATATTTTCGGTAAAAAAGCGGAAATAAATATCGCTCTTCACTATGGTACCTAGACTTTATGAATTTAAGCGCAATAGTAGGCTGGTGGCGAGATTTCATCAATTTAAGGTTGAGCTGGCCAGATGTAGCTGTAATTTCTATGCTAACAGTTTCTTATTCAGCACTTCTCGCTTGTGGAACTCCCTCCAGGTTCCTTGCTTTCCAGCCAACTTTAATCTGCAAAAACTTAAATGCAATGTCAATCGCTATCTTCTGTCAAGCTGATTGCTCTCTTTTCTCTTTCTCCGCATTACTAATGTTTCTATGCCTAATAGAATTCAAACTAATTCCTCCACACCCTGTAACACCTTGCATGCTAGTGACTGTACTGACTTGCTTGGGGTAATACCAATTAATATATATATATATATATATATATATATATATATATATATATATATATATATAACTTATATTGTAATAATAAATAATATCGGACTATGGATAAATAAATATTATTTCCTTAAAAATTATATATATATATGAATGAAGTAATGAAAATTTTGATAATCCGTATGAATAATCCCAAGGAGAATGAAGTCCTGAGAGCTCAATGTTAAGTCAAAGCGAATAATTTAATTTCAAGAAAAAAACAGACTTTGAAAGTGAAGTCTGAAGATCCAGAGAAAAATAAAATTCTCTGGTGAAATAAATTATTACAAATGGAGCCTTAAAGTGGCCTGTTTTTCTTTAAATTAAAAAATAGATAGATAGATAGATAGATAGATAGATAGATAGATCTGGGTTCTATAGCCTTGGATAGCAACTCTTCTAGGAGAAGGACAACTCTGAATTCAAAACCTGCGGAGGGTTGTTTGGGGACTTAGTGCACCAGGTCTCTATTCGGCCCTTCAAAAAGTGTGAATGATCCTGCAAAACCTTCACCACTATAATCAAGTCTCATATCGGTTCGCTCTCGGATCCTAGGAACTGATCTGCTTGACTTTCATACGTCGAATTCGGCGGGAGAGTCGAGTATATATAGTAAAGTAATAAATCCATTCGTATATAATCCAAGTGGATCCTAGTAATATAAAATATTAAAACTGATCCACAAAAAAGCTAAATGTATTTATTAATACAGAGCTATATAAATAATAAACAATAAAATCCCAAATCACCGCATATGGGGAATAGCCTCTTTCTGCAGTCGGTCGAAATAGGCTATTCCCCATATATCGGTCGTCTGTCTTATCAACCCCGGTGTAGACTGAGTTCGTGTCTATACGAATTCAGTTCAAACCGGGAATGATAAGACAGACGACCGATATCTTCGTCTGCCGATATAGTAGATTTTATTGTTTATTAATTATATGTATATATTATTATTATTATTATTATTATTATTATTATTAAATGTTATTCTTGTGAATACTCGTATTTGAGTAGACAATCCGTTTATTTTTTTTTTTTAATTATTTATTTCGTCTACCGGCCATCGTACTCGAGAAAACTTAATAAGGAAAATGTGCTCTCTCTCTCTCTTAGACATGCTCTCACATGCACAATCACACACACACACACACACACACACACACACACACACACATATATATATATATATATATATATATATATATATGTAATTCCGCGAAATGTGAAGAAGATTGTAATGCGCCAATCGTCCCAGTAGAAAGAACATAACTGCACTGAAATTTCAGCTGGAATTTTTGTTTGTTATATCGGTAACAAAACCGATCAGAAGTTTTGGTATTAGATAGCTAAACCATGTTTTTTTTTTCAGCCATTGTTGTATCTAACGTATGCATCTTCATTGGGACAAATTTCCTCGGCATTGTTGTTTTATATGAAAAACCTTTCGTTTGCTCTACCTTCCAGACTTCCTTGAGTCTCTGTGGTATTTTGGAATGTCCAACTTCAATGTGGGGAGAGAGAGCGATGAGTTTCCCCTTCGAGAGACGTCATGTCTGCTCGAAAGTGTTGACATTTCAAAATACAACAGAGAATTGAATAAGACTTGAACATACAATAAACGAAAAAGATGGGATGACAAATTAAAATACGAATGAACCAATATATACAATACAATACACATTCCAGCTCCAAGCTAGTCAAACTGACAGGCAAAAGTACACATACAGAGAAAGGGATAATCAGAGACATGGCAAGATCGCATAGAAACGGCCGTACACAAGCACGCACAATCACATGGGGACACACACACGCACCCAGACAAACTCACGCTTAAGCACATCGACACGAATGCAGACACACGCATGCAGACATGCAGACACACGCACTCAAAAAATAAAGCCGACGGGCAGAGTGATAGAGACACACACGCACTCACTCACTAAAACACGTGGATATTCACACATATAAACACTCACATTTAAACATACACATAGACATGCACACACACACATGCACATGCACACAGAGAAAAATAAAAAAGAAGAGTACACAGGTTCGCCTATCGCCCGGTTCACACTCCTTCCTGTCTATTGAACAGGGGTAAAGGTTTATTTCTTGTTTTCTGTTTAGAATTGGGTTTTCGGTACCTTCTATAATCTTTTTCTCTTTAAATCCCTGTAAACCCTTGTCTTAGTGGCATTGTCGCCTTGCTTTGGGGGCTACGATTAAAGTGAAAAAAAGCGACAAATGCTGTTGGAAACACAGACACAGATACAGAAACACACCAGAGCATGCACGATCGGAAGCAAATAATATTAATAAAAAAGAGAGACAAACAGACACATGGAGGCACAAACACAACATTCATAAACAGTGTTGCACACACACACACACGCAAATACACACCTGGTGAGACACACCCGGATAGGCTTTCACATGCACACTTACACACACACAAACACATATACTCACACACATATACACACACACACATATTTCGGGAGAAATAAAGACAAAAATTATTCAAAATTTGGATAATTTTTTAAGTTGGTACTTGATCTAAGCTTTCATCTC